ACACTGACATCTCCTGCCATCCCTTGGACTGTACTGTTTATGCGGGAGCCGCACCCACAGATAACTATCCACATTCCCATTAATGCAAAAGCTGGTAACACGACAGATTTCATATACAAAAGGAAGAAAGTGCAACGTGTCAAACTCAGAGAGCTCAAATGAGCCAGAGGTTACAGGCCACCAGAGCAGGTGTGGAACGAAGCAGCAATAAGCATTGGGGACCTTATAAATGTCCATAAATATCTGCAGGGTGGCTGTCAGGAGGACAGAGCGAGTCTCTTTTCAGTAGTGCCCAGTGACAGGACGAGGGGCCATGGGCACAAACTGCAGCACAGGAAGTTCCACCTCAACATGAGGAAAAACTTCTTTACTGTGAGGGTGACGGAGCACTGGAACAGGCTGCCCAGAGAGGCTGTGGAGTCTCCTTCTCTGGAGACCTTCAAAACGCGACTGGACGTGTTCCTGTGCAACCTGCCCCGGGTGATCCTGCCTTGGCAGGGGGGGTGGACCAGATGATCTTCAGAGGTCCCTTCCAACCCCTACCATTCTGTGATTAGTGCAAGAAATAAAAGCAGGTCCAGGTCAGGTCTAGCAAATTCTGGGAGAATTATACTCTGGTATAGACTTTTTTTGTCCATTGCTTTCATACAGGAACATGACTGCAAGAGGAAGCTAGATACACCACGAGTTTGGAAGTTGTGGTGTATTTGGAAATTTGGAAATTGAAAACACCGCTATGGCTTTTGGAAAGAGTAACCATCAAACCAAGGACACACAGGCCATTTGCAGAGCCCTGTGCTTTTAACTAGCCTTCCTCTGCATTGCACTCAGCAGCTGCTTGCTGCAGCCTACCCCATGACATGTCTATTCCCACGCCTGACCTTCTCTTTCTCATCCCTGTACCTGTCCACCCTAGTCCCTCACTCGCTTTCTTTCAGTGTTCCTTTTCTGACTTAACATAGACCTCATCTGCCATCACACTTCCTGCTTACGTGTTTCAATCCTTTTCCCAATCTGTATCTATCTTGCCAAAATGAACTATTAGATATTAGGATTTAGAAGAGTGTTCTGCTGCTCTGTTAGTACCATCTTCTTCCCTACTCCATCCTCCCCAGATACTAGGGGGGAGTTGCTGAAATACTCAATTCAGTAACAAGGAAACAGATCCTAAAAATAATATTTGGCCTATCTAGTGCATTTATAAGTTCACTGAGACTACCTTTGACATTAACAAAATCATAACAGCTACAATATGGTTTCTATCTCCGTATAACCAGTGAAATCAATGTAAAAGTTCCCATGTACAGGTTGGATTAGAACTAGACCATGCAGTTTTGAGGATCAGATCACTGACATTGTTATCATCATCCAATTTACATGTATGTTAATGTATAATAGGAAATTAAATTTATTATTAGATTAAAACATTCCCATTCAAAAACAATCTAGCTTGCAGCAAAACACAAATAAGAGAATAATGAAATATCCTTAGAGAACTGGCAATCCCATTCCTAATTCCATCCTGCCACTAATACTTCCTCTAGTATTGATTTGATGCCCAGAGTACGACCAAGCTAGCTGTCTTGGCACAGATGACGGTTCCTAATGTATTACTCCAAATTATGACCCTGAGTAAAAGGACAGTCCATCTATCTGCCTGTGCAGCACGCCACAGAATTAGCTTGCAGAATGGAAAGCGGTGTTTTAAGTCTTGTTGACTCAAGTCATGTTCCTCTCCCCTTGGAGAACCACAGAAAGGAAAGTAATATCATAATTATTAGAGTATCATGATCCCTTTGGGAATGACATTTTGTTAGACATACACAAATAGCATCTCGTCTTGCAGGAGTAAACGGACATAATCCCACAATGGCAAATTAAATCAAAATATCATTTTATTGATCTCAGAATATAGTACCTCTCAGCTGCTTAATAAAGTTGGAATCACTAATAAAAGTAAATGCTACACTCTTCCAACAAGTATATATCAATGAGAAATTTGCTATATGATCCAATTTACTTCTGAACTAATTCAGAGATGACATTTGTGAGCCAAAGAAGCTTTTTTAAATTAAAAAAAAAAAGCAGTTAATTGTAATGCAGTTTGACATGTATTTTTAATATTTTTAAATAATGGAACTCCATGTTTTGTTTATGTTATAAAAATGCTTTTCAATTTATTCATTTGTTTATTTTGCAGAGTGCATCTAGCTTGGATAAAAATATAACCAAAGCTGAGAGTGCATGGCTGTTCAGAATATGGTATGGCTTTGACCACAAGTATCCTTTTCTGTTATAAGCCATAGATGATAGTTGCATTACAACTAGCACCTTCAAAATATTTAAGAATCCAAAAATGATTATACTTTTACAAACAAAAACAAAGGTCTAATTTATTTTAACATGTTTAGTAAGGAGAAGTTTTGAAAGTTTAAAGAAACAGAAGGTCTAGAGAATCTGGGCAGTGCAGTGGTAGTACATTCCTGATTGAGGCTATGTAGAGTGAGAAGGAGCTAAGAAGTTCTGCCCTATGGTAGTATACAGACAATAGGTTTAAATAAATTATCTTTAAATTCCAGGATAAAACTAATACACAATTATTGATCAGAAAGAGTATAAATTCTGCGTTTGAGAAACTAGGAGGTTGTAGACTGAAGCAGCCCAACAGCTGCTGCCTGTCCACATATTCACAAAGCAGTAGCTACCCAAGAGAAAGTAAAAATAAGACAACAGTGGTTTACCCACACCTCTCTCAAACACAGAAAGATGCACCCATTGTGAAGATGTAGCTCCCAGGACTTCCCTGGAGCTTATACTTACTATTCCCCTTTGTGCTTCTATTCACATTCCTACCGAGGCGTGTATGGTAGATATCTTAAACATGAGTGTCTGATACTTTATTCTAGAAAGTCTGGTTTCCATGTCTTTTGCATTTCAAGAAAATATTTGAAAGTGTTTTTTTTAAATATTCTTAAAAAGAACATCCTCCCAAAGCCAAGGTAAAACATACATTCTTTGACACCTATGCTATCACTAATGCCTGTGCAAAGATAGTAAAACCTACCATTCTAGTCTATTGTAATTTTAAACTGACTCTGCAAAGGCTTTGCATAGCTATCAGTGAGATCCCATAACAACAATCATGCCCTAAGCCTTTAACAGAGATATATGATGCATGTAAGAGAAGGCCATCTGCTAATTTCCATGCATGCTGGCTCAGGAGCTAAGCAGGCAAAGCTCTACCAGTAGTCTCCATTATTCAGTAGCACATCTAGTGGCCCATTACTCTGCACTACTACCTAGAGATTAATGTTCAGGCTACATGTATGTTCTTCTGATACCAGGACAGAAGCATGAGTTTAAAAAAGAAATGAAAGATACAACAAGGGTAGAGCTAGAAAACAAGGAACAGAGGCAGAAGGGAAAGA